AGAACAACATTTACCACATCTCTGGGCACCGTGGCCCAGCCAAGGCAACCTATAAAATGTGCCATTATCATGTGTAAACTTGTTCCTCCCTCTGGGGGAATACAGAGTTGCAGTGTTATTTTGAGAGTATAAATGGTCCCCAAAGAGCTGAAGCACTAAGGCTGGGATGCTGGTGACGTAGAGGGAGGAGCAGGGCATCCACAGCCCTAGGGCGGGAGGGCCTGGCGGGGGTGGGGGGGTCCCCTGTGCCCAGAGGTCCAGCATGTCATCAATCCAGGCAGAGAGGAGACGGTGAGAGGATCGCAGGGAGGAAGATGCAGGAATACCAGGGAGAGAGACAGCCCTCAGCTCCCACCGCCTTCGCCTTCTTCCCAGGTCTCTCCCTTTGCTCTCGGCCTGTCACCCCCCCACCCCCTTATTTAGTGACCTGCTGGTGGCTCCCTACCACTAGGCTTATTTGGAAGCAATAGATAAATGTCAGCACTTAGAAGCCATGAAACATCCTAACTGGCCCCCCTAGACTAATAAACATAAAAAAAAAACACCCTGATTCAGGCAGCCTGATGGGCTCATTGGTGAGAGGGAGATAAAGTTTCCCTTCAGGACATTTATAATTTACATAATAAAAAGCTTTTCACCTTCCAGTCCAGGAGCGAAATTAATTACCAGCCCCTGGTACCTCCTGGAACAGTTTTTGCTTGAACTGGCAGGAACAGTTTGTGAACTCTGAAATGAGGGTGGGGGGCCCAGGAGGGGGTGTTGGTGAGGCAGGTAGAGAGGGGAGCAAGACACCCACAGCTCACTTTGCAATGGTCTGAAACAGGGTGTGTGTGGGGGGTGGGGTGGGGAGGGGAGTGGGTCTCCACATTTCACAAAGACATCTGTGGCTCGACCTGTCTTTTCAGAGCATTCAGTACAAATAATTCGCTAATGATAATGGACTTGGCAATTGGAGGCCTCCTGGCCTCCCCTCGGACAGATGTTGAATGGGCACTCACCAGAAGGGTTGTCTCCATTATACCCTGCAGTCCTGCTTGTCCTCTTCTCCTCTGGGCACCGGTTCAAACCACAAATAGCAAAGCTGGCGCTCCTGTGCCCTGGCCCTGAGGACGTGTGCACGGCCCAGAGGCCTCTGAGAGCCAGGCAGGGTCTCTCCTTCCAATCCCCTGCCCATACTCTTCAGAGAGCCAACAGCATTGGCCTGTTCTTTCCCCCCATCAACAATTACTTTATTCCTTTCCCTTTATGTATGTATGTATGTATTTACTTTTATTTTAAATCTTTATTGTTAAAAGTATTAATATGCCCCCCGCCACTGACCCCTTCTCACCTGTCCCAGCACCCACATCCTGCCCCAGGCCTTCACCCCCCCTATTGTCTGTATCCATGGGTTATGCATATATGCATACAAGTTCTTTGGGTGATCTCTTCCCACCCACCCACCCTTCCCTGGCCTTCCCTCTGAGATTTGACAGTCTGTTCCATGCCTCTATGTCCCTGGATCTATTTTGTCCATCAATTTATTTTTGTTCATTAGATTCCACATATGAGTGAGATCATGTGATACTTGTCTTTCTCTGACTGGCTTATTTTGCTTAGCATGATGCTCTCCAGTTCCCTCCACTCTGTCTCAAAGGTAAGAGATCCTTCTTTTTACAGCTGTGTGGTATTCCATGGTATAAATGTACCACAGCTTTTATATCCACTCATCTCCTGATGGGCACTGGGCTGTTATTTAATTCTCCCCACTATCCCATAGGGCGGCAGGTGGCCCACGCTGTCTCGGAGTTTTGCAGATTGAGAGATAACGGTAAAGAGATGTAACACGGTTCACCTTCCACTGAGGAGCTGGTATAGAATTCAATCTCATGTCCACAAGGCATAGGGTCTCCTGGTGGACAAGAAGGCTCAACCAAGGTCTCTGGGAAGTGGATCGGACTGTGGAGGTGAGGATGGAAGTCAAAGCCTCCTACCTTTTGTGAAAGAGGAACCATTATTGATTTAATTTTCATGCTATTTTATAATAATTATGACACCAGATTACAAAAGGACACAGCAAAAGATGGTATGGTACAAGTATGTTTTTTTGTTTTTGACCTCCTTTAAGCTTGATTTGCTGTCTTATATAAGCAGAATATCGCCAGGTATTTAACAGTTCAGAATGTGGAGGGAGAGCAAGCTGTGTGGGCCTTCAGCACCTGAAGCACCGTCCACCTCAGAGTCCCTGGGGCCCTCTCTGCCTCCCCTGTGTCCATGCGCCGCCCGGTTCACATTTCCGGGGCCATTTCTGGAACCCAGTGTCCTTGGAGGTGCAGAGCACCCATGCTTAATTAATGCTCTCCAGGAAATGGTTAAGTCAAGGTCACCGCAGAACCGGTTTTATAGGGGAAGGGGGCAGAATCAGTTCCGTCACAGTGCAGACAGCCTTTCCCCTGGTTTTGGTGTTAGGTGTCCTGAATAAATTGACCAGAGGAGTGACAGGATCTAACTGCAGAGCAACAGGGGTTTGTAAGTCTTTGATCTGAGTATAAGATGGAAGCTGAGGATAACTTAAGGATGGTTCTACTTTGGGAAATATTGCTTTACTCTTTCTAATAGAAACTACACATGTTGGATGGGCAAGGAGCTGGGGGTGACTGCAGTGGGGTGTGCATAGGGCAGAGGGTGGGAAAGACTGCCAGGCTCCTCTCCTGCAAGGCCTCCTGTGCTGGGGGAGTTTGGACTTCATCCACTAGACCAGTGGTCGGCAAACTGGCCCCTTGAGTGTGGCTCTTCCACAAAATACCATGTGCGGGCGCGCACATACAGTGCGATTGAAACTTCGTGGCCCATGCCACGGGGCCAAAGAGCCGCATGTGGCTTGCGAGCCACGGTTTGCTGACCACTGCCCTAGGCCAAAGGGCTTAGGAGGACAGGGAGGTGAGCAGGGAGGGGAGACAAACCAGCTCAGGATGAGCCAGAGACCTCTCCAACTCCCCTCCCACACCATGTCCCAGGCAGGAGGGAGGAAGGGCAGTTATTGTAGAAATGGTGGCAGGTATAAAAGTTTCCGGGAGAGATTTGAGTAAATTCTCTTCCCTCCACCCTTTGGCCCCTGAGACTCCCCCTCCCCCCACTGGAAGCCCTGGAAAGGGAAGGGTGTCGGTAGGCAGGCACGCACCGGGATGCCTCTCAGCACTCTCACTGGTGTTGGGAGTGAATGGTGGACAGACACAGGTCAAGGGCAGGTCAGCACCCGGTAGTACAAAGCGTGGCGGGCTCAGGTGTGAACTAAGTAGGAGGCATCAGAGAATGATGGTGCTCCTGGGCCACGGGGGAGGGAGGAGGTGGTTCCCTCCTTTACCCGTAGCAAAGGCAGGAAGCAGGAGAGGAAGCAGTTTATGCTGAGGCACCCCTAGGACTTCCCGGGATGCGTTTCAATAGCAGTTCAGAAAGATGGAGGTGTGGTTTTGGAGAGTGTTCTGTCTTCAAATGCATAGGCTTGTTCTGTAGTCCTAGCTAATCTGTCTAAATATCAGCGATAACTTCCTTTTAAAAAAATAACTCTTTTCGATAAACTCTTTCATTAGCATTTATAAGGATGATGATGTACAGGACGGGATGCGTGGATTTTCTTTCCCTACGTAGAGTAGATCCTATGTATTTTAATACCTTTTCAATTGAATTTTCCCTCTAAATATTTGACTACTCTTCTTTCTTTTTCTAAAATTGATTTTAGAGAGGGAGGGAGGGAGGGAGGGAGGGAGAGAGAGAGAGAGAGAGAGAGAGATCGTTCGGTTGCCTCCTACACGTGCCCTAACTGGGGACAGAACCTGAAACCTGGGTATGTGCCCTGACCGATGGTCAAACCCACCACCTCTTGGTGCACGAACGATACTCCAGCCAACTGAGCCGCCCGGGCCAGGGTGAGACATCTCCTCTTGAGCCTACTTCTGCCTCTCAAAGCACATTGCTCCCATTCCAGAAGCTGACTTTATTCCGTTCCGCACGTTGAAGATTCATGGGTCACGAGGGCTTAAGAAAACAAGGACATCGTTGAAAGTAAATGATAAGATCAAGTAAGGTCAGGGGAGAAGAGAAAATGACAATACGTGATTAGCAAGCCCACATTAAATGTAACCGAAGACAGAGGTGCCCCGGCCAGGAAGGGCTTGGGAAAGGGGAGGCGAAGAGACCCTACGTGTACTCCTGTGGACGTTCTCCGCTTGTATAAATCTGAACTCAAATTTGGCGTTGGGTTCCTGGCAGTGCAGACGCAGCGCGCGGCGTGCTGGAGAGGGAGGCTGGCTACTTTTAGCTCTCCCCATTCTGCCGGTTCAGACGACTTCTCCCGGGTTCAGTCTGTGGCAATGACATGCAAATCATAAACATGAGAGCTGGCCTCCGGGGAGAGGGGCCTGGCCACGAGCCAAGGTCTGTAACACAGAGAAAAGGCATATTTCTTTGTCACACACACTAGATTCTCCCCGAGGGGTTCCGCGATGGGAAGAAAAGGATGGGGAGGGGGTGAGCGAGTGGTGGTGGAAATCAGATGACGCTCTTCTCTCCTATGAAAAACCAAACACAAACAAACCCTGGCGTGAGTGGGAACGCAGACAAGGCGGAGGCCTCACAGCCTCTCCTCACGGCACACTCCATATACCATCGTCATGGCCCCGGGTGTCTGCTGGGAGGGCCTCTGTGACCAAGCCCTGTGCCCAGATACCGGCATTTATCACCGGCCGACTCGGGGTGGGGAAGCTGTCAAGGAAGTTTGCATTTATTTTTCAAACATTCTGCATTCAGGAAAATTCGGGATACATTTTCCCAAGCACTTTCCCTTTGAATATTTAAACCCAAGCGAATTCTGAAGGAAATTTAATCCACATGTTTCTGATTCATTTACACTTAATTCATCAAATTGTTGTTTTGTAAGAGTCATTTGATGTCCAAGAGCTTTATGAGGGTTTCGGGTATTTTTTTTTTTTTTTATAAACCTTCTTATTTGAAACAGGATGTTGTTCATGCCAACAGTGACCCTGAGCAGCGGGCAGGAGAGCGTCCATCGGAACGTGACCTTGGGACCGCCAGGTGCAGGCAGCGGGAGGTGAGGCCGGGAAGCGGAGGTGAGAGAGACGTGGCCAGCAGAGCACAGGGAGCAGTTTCGCGTCTTTGCTTGGGTGCCGGGAACGCAGCCTTTTAATGTCGCAGAGAAAAATAAGCGCAGCGGACGCCTTGTCCACGGGAGGCCTCGGCGCCTGCGTGGGCTCCTCACGGAGGGGGTTTTCCATGGTCTAGGCACGAGGGTTTGGGGCTTCTGTGCTTTCCAGGGGGATCTGAGCCCCGAGTAGAAAGGTTGTGATTGATTTTCCAAACCAGCTTTATGTAAGGAGGCCAAACACCAGCAGTTCTTAACATAGCTGCTTCTCTTTTTAAATATGTTTTTATTGATTTCAGAGAGGAAGGGAGAGGGAGAGAGAGATGGAAACGTCAGTGATGAGAGAGGATCATTGATCAGCTGCCTCCTGCACGCCCCACACTGGGAATTGAGCTCACCCCGGCCATGTGGCCTGACTGGGAATCGAACCAGGACCCCCTGGTTCATAAGGCGACGCTCAACCACTGAGCCATGCCGGCCGGGCAACACAGGTTATTCTTTTTAATGCCTCAGGCCAGGCTTTATCTGCACAGGAGCTGCTGGCCTCCACATAGCTGTCCGCGGCAAGGACTCAGCCTTCTCTGGCAGCTGGCATCTGGGGCCCAGACATGGAGCTTTGCCCTCCTGGTCAGACTGGCTTGCCTGTCCCCTCCGTCCCCAGAGCTGATTCTAACTCGCCCCTCACAGCAGAAGGCCAGCTCCTTGAGGAAAGATCTTTGGGATTAAACCCACTCTGTTTTGATCCAAACAGCTACTCCTGGAGGCCCCCTCCCCCACTAGTGTTGTTGCCACTGTCTTCGTTTTGGTGAGGGTGAGCTTCCCATGTGACAAGACTGTCAGAAGAATTAAGATTAAAAAGCAAGCTCTCTAGCAGTATGGCTCAGTGGATAGAGCCTCAGCCTGTGGACTGAAGGGTCCTGGGTTTGATTCCCGTCAAGGGTGCATACCTCAGTTGTCGGCTCCCGGTACATGTGGGAGGCAATCAATTGATGTGTTTCTCTCACATCGATGTTTCTCTCTCTCTCTCTCTGTCTCTCCCTCTCCTTTCACTCTCTCCAAAAATCAGTGGAGAAATATCCTCGGGTGAAGATTAAAATATAAAAGAAAATAAGGCAAGATGCAAAGCATTGTGAACCACAGCCTAGCAAGCATGTCAAACTCGCGGAATGCGGCCTTGGGACACTGACTGTTGTCTACTGACACGGGTAAAGGAAAAACATTATCTTTCATCATTTACAAATATGATCAAGGTAATTTCTGAGTTGGTTGACTTTAAAGCAGTGGTGCTCAACCTTCCTAATGCCGCAACCCTTTAATACAGTTCCTCATGTTGTGGTGACCCCCAATTTCATTGTTACAAATGGAACATAATTAGAGCATAGTGATTCATCACAAAAACAATATGTAATGATATGTGTGTTTTCTGATGGTCTTAGGCGACCCCTGTGAAAGGGTCGTTCGACCCCCAAAGGGGTCACGACCCACAGGTTGAGAACCGCTGCTTTAAAGACAGGATTTTTATACCACGTATAATCTGACCCACGTTGCCGAATTATTTATATTTCATACGTACATTTTACACGTAAGTATAAGTTGGCTTTTAGATGTTTTCAGAAAACAGTGCTTTGAACCCAGGATAGAAATTTGATTGAGACTTGCTGCAGTCGAAAATAAAATAATTACAGGGCAGATTCGGTGTTCTGGCTTTGCGTTCATGCTTGTAACTCCCGGCCAGGCTCTGCGATCAGCGTGCAATATGCATTTCACCGTCGTGACCTTGGTTGATTTTGTCTGAACCGGCGCAATGGAGTTATGAGAAAGCAGCCAAGTAGGGTCCCCGTGGAGAAGTTACGGGGAATTTTGTTTGCCTTTTTACTGCCAGGACAGGGCTTAAGTGGAAACTAAGAATACGAAGCATTGTGCTTTGCCTGCTGATGGTTAATCTGTACTCCAGACTTCAGAAATCCTAGTTTCCAACACTCGGATTGATACCAGGCGTGTGAGTGCTTTGAGAGAAAGTAGATGCGATTACCTTTTGTCCTTCAAGGTTCCTATTGGTAAAATGGACTAAGTGGTACTCACGTTCTTGAAGAAATGTGAAAGCAGATTAAAGAAAAATGCTTCAAGACAGAAACCTGTTACATAGTGAGAAAAGGCATGGTGTGAAAAATAAACAGCAGTGCGAAAATATGGTGAAATAAGGAAAATTCTTCCTCCATATTAAGTTATTTCATCAGAAGGACTGAGGTTAGAACGGAAGCTTCATGGAGATGGGCCTTCGTGCTTATTTTGTTCACTGCACTATCTCAAGTCCCTGAAACAGGTCCTGGCACATCGTAGGCATTCAGTAAAGATCTGTTGAATGGCAGGATGGGTGGATGACTATCAGGAAACTAGGCCCAGCAAGGGAGTGCCCGCCTGCCTGCCTTCTTTCTTCCTTCTCAGACAGAGCAGTGACTGACAGGTGGGGACACGGAGATGGGTAGGCAGCCACGGAGCTGTGTGTCCTGAGAAGTAGAGAGAGAGAGAGAGAGAGAGAGAGAGAGAGAGGTATCTAATCATGTGTCTTCCTCTTCTTAAAAGGATACTAGTTTCATTGAATAAGAGCCCCACCCCTATGTCCTCATTTAACCTTAATGATCTCCTTCAAAGCCCTATCTCAAATACAGTCACATTAGAATTTAGGGCTTTATTGTGTGTGTCTGTGTGTGTGTGTGTGTGTGACATACACACACACACACACACACACACACACACACTAGAGCAGTGATGGCAAACCTATGACACACGTGTCAGAGGTGACACGCGAACTCATTTTTTTGGTTGATTTTTCTTTGTTAAATGGCATTTAAATATATAAAATAAATATCAAAAATATAAGTCTTTGTTTTACTATGGTTGCAAATATCAAAAAATTTCTATATGTGACACGGCACCAGAGTTAAGTTAGGGTTTTTCAAAATGCTGACACACCGAGCTCAAAAGGTTCACCATCACTGCACTAGAGGCCAGGTGCACAAAATTCATGCACTCGGGGGTCCCCTCAGCCCAGCCTATGCCCTCTTGCAGTCTGGGAGCCCTCAGGGGATGTCCAACTGATGGCTTAGGCCCACTCCTAAGCCATCAGTCGGACATCCTTAGTGCTGCCAAGGAGGCGGGAGAGGCTCCCGTCACCGCCACTGTGCTCACCAGCCATGAGCCTGGCTTCTGGCTGAGCAGTGCTTCCCCTGTGGGAGCACATTGACCACCAGGGGGCAGCTTCTGCATTGAGCATCTGCCCCTTGGTGGTCAGTGTGTATCATAGTGACTGATTGTTCTGCTGTTTGGTCAATTTGCACATTAGCCTTTTATTATATAGGATATGGGGGGCATAATTGAGTAGAGAGCAGGTGGTTAAGCAGTCCATTCACAGGTTGCAGTGGAGATGCCAGCACTCAGGGCATCTCTGAGGCCCATCCAGCAATTTTCCTGAAGCAGTCACAGCCATTAGAAATGCAGGACTCCTCATGGGCCAGGTAGTACAGTGTGTGGTATGCTCACTGCCCCCCATTTAAAGCACTGTAACGACTTGGTCATGCCACGAATATACGGAAAGGCTGAGGCCTGCTTTATGGTTGGAAAGCCTAGGCAGAAGGCATGTTCCTTAGGAAGACAGCCCATCTATTTCTTTATTTCACTTATTTTTAAAGGCAAGTTATATACTGGAAACAGTACTTAGGCTTTCAAATTCTTATGCAAACCACTGAAAATGCAAATCATTTACCAGTAACGTCAGCATTTTTGAGGGAATGTTTATTCCTTCCAATGTTGAAAATCTCACTTTCAAAATTTAGAGCCAGAAGGACCCTCAGAGAAATCGATGTTCTCATTTTATTAACGAGGCACCACAGACCCGGCGAAGCCATGAGACTTGGTGAATGTCTTGCAGTGAGTCTGAGGCAAAGGCGGTGGGGGCAGGGAGCAGGAGGAGGGGGAGCCCGGGTTCCAGACGGTCTTGTAAAAATGCCCGGGGCCCCCTCTTGGGCTGACTTTGACCTACACATTTGCTCTTGGGCCTCATTTAATCAATCAGCAAACAAGCGTTCAATGAATATGTACTTTATGCTCAACAGTAATAGACAAGAGCATAACATTTTGTCTCAAGAGATACCCAGTCTGGTTTTGGATGACTAAAATTTAAGAATAAAGAAAAATACGAGAACAAATACAATTTCACAGAAGCAGCTAAACTCCTAGTGGGCTTGTAAAGACGGCTTGCTTTTCCCAGAGTCTTTCGAGGGGCTCTGGGGTCAGATCTGGACTTGAGCTCAACTTTGGTGCTAACTAGGTGAGCAGTCACTGGGCTTTCCGAGCCTCAGTTTCCCCATCTGTAAAGGGGAGAGTGTAGGGCTAGGGACAGAGACATTTGAGCCACTGGGGTGGTTGTTGTGGCTGTTGTTGCCCCACTACTATGAATGCAGCGGCCACCCATGTCCCCACCTCTTCCAGTGACGGCACCCAGAGATGAGCCTCCAGCGGGCCCTGCATTTTTATGGAATGAGCATCCTTTCCCACCTTCTTTAGGAGGCTCCTGTTTGCAAGACCTGGGTGTAGTTCTTCCGTGACCCTTGCTCACTGCACCATAAATATCTCATTCTTCTCCCTCCTCTTTGGTGAATTGGAGGAAAACTCAAACCTTGTTTCTCTACTTCTGTTGTAATAAACCTTTACCACGTTTCCAGGGGTGGGCAAACTTTGTGACTTGAGGGCCACAATGGGTTCTTAAACTGGACCGGAGGGCCGGAACAAAAGCATGGATGGAGTGTTTGTGTGAAGTAATATAAATTCAAAGTAAACATCATTACATAAAAGGGTACGGTCTTTTTTTTTTTTAGTTTTATTCATTTCAAACAAGCCGGATCCGGCCCGCGGGCCGTAGTTTGCCCACTGCTGGAATAGACACATACGCATGTTATAATATAGGAGCTAAGAGGGTCTTGGGGTATGAATCCTAGCTCTGTGTCCACCTGTCGTGAGAACTTGAGCAAATTACTTATCGCCCACGGGCTTTGATTTCCTTATCTGTGAATTGGAGATAATCATATATTCATATCCTATGATTGTGGTCCTTGACCAAGCTGGTCCGTGAGAAATAACTGGTGTGGAGACTGGCACATAGTAAGCACTGAATACATATCAGCCATTATTATCATTATTCATAGCATCAAGACTTTTAGGAGGAAATAAAATTACTTTGTGTAGGACAACTTTGAATAAAGAAGGAGATCTCAGCACAGATTACCCAGTCATTGATCGATAATGTTCCAGGCATGATGATAAGTCCTGGGGAATAAGAATACTTTGGGTTCCTGGAGAAACTATTGGGGAAACAGGAGGGAAACCCATAATGATGTGGTAAATGGAGGGAGGTACCCATAAGGGCCCAGATATAGAGAGAGCAGTGTCTCTTCGGGGAAGTTAGGGAAGGAGGAAGAGCTAATCTGAGGCCTGAAAGCCTGGTGAGGAGGTGGCTGGGTGGATGAGCAAGTCCAAGGATGCTCTGGGCAGAAGGACTGGCATGTTTAGGACATGCAGGCGCGAGAGAACCACATCGTGTCAGAAGGCAGCAAACGGTAGGGCACATGGAGTGTGGCAGGAAGTGGAGCTGGAGCTGGTAGGCAGGCACTGGCATATAAAGGGCTATGACAATTAGAGTATCGATTTTATCATGAAAGCCTGTATTGCCTACACTGTGTTCCTTGCTATGCTAATTGGTGTTCCATTGATAAAATGCTGAAGCTTGACAACTTTGAGAAATGTTGGGCACAACAAAATGAAATAGTTTTTCTTACTGTAGGATTTTTCAGAACTATTGGTATACCAAGAAAGGGATATATTACTTTCTCAAAACGGAATTGATTTTAAAGTAATGTTTATATTGATCGACTATTAACATCCAGTTCCAGAGAACAATGAGGAATTTTGAGAGGAGTAACATATGATCGTATTAATTTAGGGTTAGCGTCAAGGAGGGGAAAGATATATTTGAAAGATATATTTGTTTTATGAGTATAATGATTATTCTGAAATTGGGCAATAAAAATATGTCATCTAATCCAAAGGGATTGCTCATTAGAAATTAAAACACTGAGTTAGTTCTTCTTTACAAAGCAAGGTGGTGCTTCTGCGGCCAGTGCTGCTTCCTGCAGGGGAATCTCAGTGAGCT